TTCTTGTAGACCAGGCTTGTCTTGAACTCACAGAGATCTGCCTGTCTCTGCCTCCCTAGTGGTGGAATTAAAGGTGTGTGCCATCATGGCCTGGCCCTTTTTAAATGTGTATACCCCAGGCTGGCCTCAAACTCGTGATCCTCCTGCTTTTGTGTCTCTGTTCTTTTGTTTCTAAAATCCCTTTTTAAGCTTTTGTTAAGTTTTAAGTGGAAGTTCTGACCAAGAAAGCATGCTCAAAAGCAAAAATGACAGGAAAAACAATCCCCACCTACCTTTGTGTTCAACCCAATCAACTGGCCCAATGTGCTGGAATCTGCTGGGTGGGAATGTGTTCTAGTTTTCTTTGGGCCCTTTAACTTCAGGAAACTCCTCAGCCCAGCCCTCCCCACTCCCACCCCCAACCCCCCCACCCCCGCCCTGGAAACCAAGGTCACCAGTAATTCTGGTTCAGTGATTGGCTGAGATTGTGTGGCCAACTTAACAAAGAGAAAAAGGGTTGATGCTGAGGCCACCTCCAGAAATGATGACAGCCTTGACCCAGGGCAGCCAGGGCCCTGGGTTTTAAAAATGATTCTGACACATCCAGGGGTGAGAGCTACTGCAAACATTCGCCTGCCTTTTCTCTTGTTAGGACTGCAGAATGTTCCAAAGCTAATGGTCACTAAAGAGGGACTGTCCCTCACACCGTATTCAGAAAAGTGGCTCAGAGCACATGGCTGAAGCTGAGCCTGGTGGTGCATAGTTGTGATTCCTGCACTCAGAGGCAGAGACAAAAAGATTGCTGCAAGTTTGAGGCCAGCCAGGGTTACACAATGAAACCTTACCTCAAAAGAACCAAACCAAACCAACGCCCACATCCGATGACCTAAATGTAAGAATGAAAACTACCCAACACTTGGATTGTAATAGTAAACGTTCATGACCTTGAATTTGGTGATATGTTCAAAAGTTTGCTACTTCCTCAAAAGAATTAAACATAAAATTATCTTCCGATCTAATAATTCCACTCTGGGTATATGCCCTAGAGTGGTGAATGTATATACACAAACAATTATTTGTACACAAATATTTATAGCAACATTTTTTTTGTCCATAGTCAAGAAGAAACAAAGCAATTGCCACCAAGAGATGAATGAATAAATAAATAAATAGTAGTATCTCCATGTAATGGAATGTTATTTAACCACAAAAAAAAAAGGAATGAAGTGCTCATATATATATTATAATATGAATGGGCCTTTTTAAAAGGTAAAATGATTTCATACTATGTAAACAAATGGGTAAAGCCACTGAGATGGAAAGCAGATTCATGGCTACGAGGGGCTGGGGCAAGAGGGGCTGGAGTAGGGCAATGATTGTTTAATGGGTACAGGGCTTTTAGTGGGGGCAGTGTTGTTAAAGCTAGTGAACCACCTCTTACATGGATTCAGTTTAACTTAAGGAATTTAACTGTGTACTGTTATCTGTAAACATGATAAAAAGCATAGGCCTTTTGGCCCTTTACCCTTGTCTTTGTCCACTCCCATATTCTTTTAATAATTGTTTTGAATATGTTGAATCTTATTGCAACCCAGCATGCTACACATTTCTGTCTCCCAGCTTACCTGTGTGCTGCAGGAGACCTCTGCCAGCAATTCCCGCCCTCGGTTTTCTCTCAATAGCTATTACTGTGCCCTTTAACTGACACCCTCACTGCTAAATTTGTGGTCCCTCACCCACAGAGTTCACGTATGCTGTGGATTGGATATGAAATGCCATCAGAAGGCTCACATGTTGAAAACCTGGTCCTCACAGGCAACAATGCTCAGAGGTGGGGCTTTGGGGAACTGATTCCACTAGGAGGACTCTGAGCCCATCCATGAGTTAACAGATCGATGCCTTCGTCAACTGATGGATAACAAAACTCCAGAGGTCAGGCCTAATTGAAGGGAAGACATCACCCGAGTTACACCCATGGTTACTATAGCATATCCCCAGCCTCTCCCCCTCTTTCTCTTTGTTTCCTGGCTACTGTGAAGTAAACAGCCTGTTCTACCATTACTCCCCTGCCATGATATCCTATCCTGCTTTGCTCCCGGTCCATGCATGGAAAATACTGACAGTGTAAGCCAAAACCACCTTTCGCTCTTTAATACCATAATCTCAGGTATTTGATCATAATAACGGGAAGCTGACTGACACTGTCTCTTGGACAGAAATCGGGATCTGGAGCTCCTGCCCAGACCCACTGAGCTAGAACCTGTACCTGATAATTATACAAGCCTGGTGTTGTTTGATTTCTGGTAGCAGCCACACACACACAAAAGGTTTGTTGGAAAGAAGTAGTTTTGTATTTTGCTAATGGAGCTAATGGAACCTTCCCGAGTTGGTTTGCTCTGCTGTTGTTGCTAATTCCTTCACAGACAGCAGAACACTGTTTCAAAGCATTCATCACAGAACAGAAACCAGCAGCTCTCCCAGAACCTTCAAGGCTTCTGGTGTCAAATTGGGACTACTGAGGCATGGGGCCTTGTGTAGACTGAGGAACTACCTGTTTTCCATCCTGTCCTCCTCTCAATGAAAGACAATATTGTGGGATGACTCCAACCATTGAGATACCCAGCCCCAAGGACAAGTAATTACTGGATTCTCAGTTTCTTAGGTATGTAGGTTTTTTTTGTTTTTGGGTTTTTTTTTTTTTGAGACAGGGTTTCTCTGTAGCTTTGGAGCCTGTTTTGGAACTCACTTTGTAGACCAGACTGATCTCAAACTCACAGAGGTCCTCCTGCCTCTGCCTTACAAGTGCTGAGATTAAAGACATGCACTATGGATGTTATTTAGCTGTTACTATTCTAAAGCTGACTTTAATAACTACACACACACATCTTTTCTGTTGCTGTGACAGAGCACCATGACCAAGGCAACTTATAAAAGAAAACACTTAATTTGTCATCTAGGGCTGCAGAGGGTTGGAGCCCACAATCATCAGGGCAAGTTGCATGGCAGCAGGTAGGCATGGCATGGTAATGGGGCAGTAGCTGAGACTTTATATGCTGAAATAACAACCATAGGGCAGAGAGAGGCACACTGGGATGGCATGAGATTTTTAAAAACTCAAAGCCGGCTCCCCTCACCCCCAGTGACACACCTCCAAGGCCACACCTAATTCTTTCCAAACAGTTCCACTAACTGGGGACCAAACATGCAAAATAGATGACCTATGGGGGCCATTCTCATTCAAAGCACCATCACCACTCGTGTGTGTGTGTGTGTGTGTGTGTGTGTGTGTGTGTGTGTGTGTGTGTGGTGTTCATATGCATCTTCTTTCCCCTAGAGGGCCCTGACTAAAACAAATTGTGATACTGGAAATGGGGCTGGAGAGACCGAATTATAAATGTGTGTTCTGGTGGTCTCACTGGTGGTCAGGAATTCTCTAGTGGGCCTAGAGAATTGGTACAACTGACTGGCTGGCTGGAGCCTATGGTCACTAAAGACTCCTCAGACAGTATGGGGAGCATTGAAAGTTAATGTGTGCATAAATTAAAGACCTTATAAACTGCATCTAACCAATCCTGATTCACCTCTTGTACGGCATGTGGAATGTGGTGACTCTGTAAATGAATATTTCTGGAAAAATAAGGAAGACAACAATGGTGGTTATTTTAGCATATTTGGAGAAATTTGTAAAAGGAAACAAACTGAGCTGAGTGGTAAAAATTGACCTGCTCCAAATGACCATCAACAACCTACAGGTTTCTACATGTGCCCTAAAAGAGAAGCTTTTCTCCTGCAGCTACAGGGCTCGAGTTACAGAACCTAACCAAGTTCTCAGTGTATATTAGCTGAGAACCTGGTGGTTGCTCTGTCCTTGAGGCTGGACGCTTCAACTGTCAGAGTTTCACTATTGCTGCCTTTCACGGAGGAGGAGGGGGTCCACAAATGGCAGTCACTCAGTCTATGAGGCAGGATGTCTTCCGAAGTCTTGATCTGGTGCCGCTGGTCCCTAGTCCAGGAAGTCTGGGAATGCTGCCTACTGTCAGTGTAAGAGTCAGCAGCAGCAGCAACAGTACAAATTAATTCCTTCCAAGCTGAAAGGCCAGGAGCACAAAAAGCAAGATTATCCTAATTTTTTTTTCTGGTTTGTTTGTTTTATTTTGTTTTTTGTTTTCCAAGACAGGGTTTCTTTGTGTAACAATCCTGGCTGTCCTGAAACTCACTGAGATCTGCCTGCCTCTGCCTCCCAAGTGTTGGGATTAAAGGCCTGCTCCAACACTGCCCGACTTCTTACATTCTTCTTAATCTGGATTGCTACCAGAAGGGGTCATCTGTAATCAGGGCAGGCCTTCCCATTCCAGTCAAGGCAATTGGGAACTCTCTTCAGGCGAGGCTTCCTCCTCAGGGGCTTCTAATTTGTGGCATGTTGACACTAAAACCAATCATACTACCTGGCATACATGAAGCCCTGTGTTCCGTCCCCAACACCAGATGAACCAGGCATGGTAGCTTGCACCTATAATGCCAGCTCTCAGGAGGTAGAGGCAGGGAGATCAGAAGATCAAGGTTGTCATCCTCTCCAAAGCTGGTCTAAAGTCACCACAGGCTCCATGAGACTGGGTCTCCTAAAAAAAAAAAAGTACCATCATTTTCTTGGTGGGAGGGTCTGGGGGAATCTTTAAGAAACACAAAATTTCAACCACCTCTTACTTTAACTCTTGAGGTTTCTGTGGGTGGGGGATCAAGAATCTGAATTGTATTTCTTGAGTAACTGTGATACAATGAGCCTATAGGGTAGAGGAATGGGGGCCCGAGGATTGATCCCCAGAATCCTTAAGGATCTGTCTTGAAAGCTTCTGACCCTGTCCTGTGAATCCTAGCTCATCACCAAGGTGAAGACTACCACTGTCTTTGTGTTCTTTCCACAACAGGGCTCACTCCACACAGCAAGGGTCAGCAAGACTGACCCTTCAAGTGAGTGTTTGTGGCTGACATGCTGATTTTGTTCTCCCTTTCTTTTTAGTTTCATGGAACAAACACAGAGACTCCTGAGCCAGCCCCCTCCCATCCCTACTTCCCAGGCCAAGAAGAAAAGGATATTGGTGCGATCTTTCTTTTCCAAGGTCAGACACAAATGCCCCTTCCTGGTTACCACTGTATAAGATGTCTACCCACTTGCTCTGTGGGTATAATTGGCTTTGCTGGCTGGGGTTCCTTCTAGAAGCCATGTAGACAAGAATGGAGGATAAGATGAGAGGGGTTCAGCTTGCTGCTAACTCAAAACTTAAAAAAAAAAAAAAAAGTGAACTGCAATAAATACTCAGAAATAGCAAGGATGCTGGAAAGTTACAATGTCTTCTCCCCAGTGCTGAGCACACAGCCTGATCTGGACCCTGCATTCATTCCTGCTTCCTAAGGATGGGGTAGCTTTTGTCCTTGATTTTCTCTCTCTCTCTCTCTCTCTCTCTCTCTCTCTCTCTCTCTCTCTCTCTCTCTCTGGCCATTCCACTATGAATTCAGGTGTTCTCCCATCATGATGCATGTGTGGAGGTCAGGGGGCAATCTTGGATGTCTGCCTCACCTTCCACCTCTTTTGAGCAAGGGCTATCTTCTTTTTACCATATAGCAGCCACCTCATACACCTGGAGATTCTCCATCTCCCATCTTACCAAGGTAAACTGGGGTTATAGACAAGTGCTATTGTGCCTGGCTTTACATGGGGCTCAATCTCAGATCTTTATGCTGGCATGGCAAGGGTCTTACCCATCATCTCTCTGGTCCCTCACTGGGCTCTTTCATTATCTGGGGGCTGATTCTAACGTGGGCCACCATGTTCTGTGTCCTGAAGAACACTAGTGCCTTCTTGTCATTGGAGCTCATCCGCTCACTAGGGAGGCGGCTCATCTGATCACGAGAAAGGTGGCCTCCATCTTTTCTATATCTTATTTTACAGTTACTTAGTATTTAGATTTAGAAGTATAGGATTTTGTATAGAAGTGCAGTGTTTTCCCATTGTGTTGTTTGCTGCTTCTCTTCCTCCTTCTTTGCTCAGATACATGAACTCAGAAGTTGGGACTCAAATGTTCTGAAATGTTTACAGATGTGCAATTGGTATTTGTTGAGATATTGCCAATTGAGTCACATGCTAGTGAGGGGCTGAGGACAGTGACTACTGAGAAAGGTCTGTCGGGACTCATTGTATATAGCTGGATGGAGATGCAGGGACATCAGTCTGACTGTAGAGGTATCAAGACAGAACTGGAAGAGAGGAATTGGATAAAGCAGGTATCGTACAAACATGCCATTCATTTTATTTAGCTAAAAGTACATCAGAAGGGTGAGGAGGGGCTGGAGGAGGAAGAGGACCAGGGAACTTTTCAGAGAGGAAAAGTAACAGCACAGCATACACTGTAAAAAGGACCTGTGTCTCATGGACAACTCTTTTTCCCTCAGCCGTTGTCATACAGTTCACCATTGTGTGTTTCTCTCCAGAACTCCCAACCCCACCTCAACACCAGCCCTGTCTTATTTTCTCCACCAACACCTCCATTCTGTAGACAAATGTATTTGTCAACAAAAGAAAATCATCTTTAAAGGTTGGGGTGTAGCTTAGTGGTGAGGTGAGAGCTTAGTTCATGCAAAACCCTGCTCTAATTCCCATTCACACACACACACACACACACACACACACACACACACACACACACAGAGAGAGAGAGAGAGAGAGAGAGAGAGAGAGAGAGAGAGAAATTCAAAAGGGCTCAACTCTATTCAAATTTCTCTTTCCTTCTATACTATGATAACTAAACATTCTCTCCCCCACCCCCGTGTGTGTGTGCGCACAATGCCAGATGCCATTATCAGATGTTTTCTTCATTGTACTCCACTCTTGCTGGCTTTGACTCACTGATTTGGCTGGCTGCCTGGCCAGTGAACTTCAGAGTTCTTTCTTTGTCTGTCTTCCCAGTGCTGAGATTCTAGGTACATATTGAGGCACCCAAAATCTTATGTGGGTGCTGGGACCTTCATGTTTGTAGAGCAAGTACTTTACCAACCAAGCCATCTTCCCAGCCTCTGAATTAACACACTTTTGACCCACTACCCAGGTCTCTTGGAAACTGAGGTTTCTGAAGCCGGATCCTTTGGAGAATGTGCTTTTCATCTTGGCAGAAAGAGCCCGGGATCCTAATGCTAAAAAGCGCCATCTGGCAATGAGAGGCCTGGGCACCGTGGCCAGTGAAGCCCCTGACAAGGTAGGGGGAGGTGAAGTTGAGACCGCCTTCCAGAGACTGGAAGCCCTCGGGACATGGAGTCCCCACAGCTGGGGCAGGTGTCCATGGAAAGCTAACACGGTAACAAGTCACACAGACCTAGCAGCAAACAGGGGTATCTGAGTTCAGGGGCCTGGGTATGGAGCTCAGGTTCTCGCAAGGCTGCAAGGCACGGCTGGCTAGACTGTGTCTTTCAAAAGCTAAGAGCACTTTTCCAAGAGTGCCTTTTTGTAGAACTGACTCTTTCAGTGGTAGGACTGAGGTCTCTTCCCTTAGCTGTCTACTGCCCCGCCCCCCCCCCTCCCGCCAGTGCCCAGGATCCACACTCTCAAAACATGATAACCTGTCTCTTCAAGGTGTCTCTCACTCCTGTCTGCTCTACAGGAGTCTTATGTAATGTAGCTTAGCAACCAGGAGAGACATCTGGTTACTTTTGTCACATCAGGCTAGAAGCAAGCCACCGGTTCTTTTTACATGGGAGAAGAACAGATTATATAAGGGTGTGACTCACTCAAAGTCATTGCAGGGAGGGGTGTGCGTGGCAGCTCGCCTCAGCTCTGTCAGCCTTGGGAAGTGAAGCTACTGCTGGACTGATGCAGGTTCATACCACCCTCCTTGAGAGATTAAATGGTTTTCTCATTTTTGTTTGTTTAGTGAGGGACCCTTTCACACCCTATCCTTAGCACCTGTCCACATCGATACCATTTTATGCCCTCTCCATTACGAAGGCACAGAGCCCTCTGAAGGGCCCTGGGACACTCTTGTCCACCCTGTGCTCTTGAAGTACCTCCCCAGCTCCATCGCCCAGACACCTCATTTCCGTTTGTCCTTTCTGTTCTGTACTCCTAAGATCTAGGAAGGCTCTTGGGCTGGGTTACGAGAGAGACATTTGTGCTTGGATAAGAGTTGGTGGCAGTCAGAAGAAAGTGTGTGTGTGTTTGTCTGTCTGTGTGTGTGTGTCATGTATATTATATATTTTATTACATGTGGACGATGTGAACAGAGAGAGAACCGCTTGTGAGGAGGAAGGGGAACAGCAAGAGGGGTGGCTAGGGGAGGATGGGAAGGGTAGTGGGGGATGAGTGTGAACGAACTACAATGATGTAGATGTTTAAAAGCCAGAATGAAACATTGTTTTGTTCTTTGTTTGTTTTACATTAACTAAAAATAGTAACTTAAAGAAAGTCAGGGCTTCTCAACCCCAGCTTGCGACTACTAGAAGATTAGGGATGGAGTTGCTTTTCAACTAGGTGTGTGTGTGTGTGTGTGTGTGTGTGTGTGTGTGTATGTGTTATCAGTGTGTTAGAATGTGTATGTGAGTGTGTGTGTGTGGTGACTGTATGTGTGAGTGTGTGTTAGGGTGAGAGTATGTTGTCAGTGTGCTAGAATGTGTGTGTGAGTGTCTATGTGGGGTGTATATGGGGTGGTGTGTGTGTGTGTGTGTGTGTGTGTGTGTGATACTAATGCTTTTCTAACCTTGATAGCAGGTGAGAAAGTACAAGAAAATTTTTCTTGACCTCCTGGTGCATGGACTATATGACCCTGTAAGTTCTGAAGTTATCCATGAGAGTGTGAAGACTCTGACCATCATGCTGGGCAAGATCCAGGGCCAAGGCCTGGGCTCCTTCTTCATAGATATCACCCTTCAGACCAGGACTTTACTGGATGATGTAAGTGAGAAGGGTAAGCACAAAATCTTGGGCTGTGCAATCATTTTGGGTTAGAAATGAGAATCCGGAGCCATGTGGTGGTGGTGCATGCCTTTAACCTCAGTAGAGGCATAGGCAAGCCAAGCAGAGGCACAGGCAGGCTGATCACTGTGAGTTTGAGGTTTGCCTGGTCTACATCGTGAGTTCCAGGACAGGTAGGAGGTAGAACTACATAAAGAGACCCATATCTCAAAAAAACAAAACAAAACAAAAAGACAAAAAAAAAAAAAAAGAAAAGAAAAAGAAAAAGAAAAAGAAAGAAAGAAAGGAAGGAAGGAAGAAAGAAAGAAAAAGAAATGAGAATCCTGGATAGTGTGTTTCTTAGGAACAAGGTCTACATTACTTGATAGTTTATGAATTTTATTGAGGGACTTAAGGGTGGAGGTTATAGAGAACATAAATGATATATAGTATCTCATATTCCCTCTTGAGGAGTTTTCATGTCAATAGGGGAGTGTATATGCCTACTAGTGATGATAACAGTGATGGTGATGATGCCAGTCTGTGCTCAGCACTCCCTTCTATGTAACAAGTTAACGTTTAGTGAGCCCTTCCTGTGTGTCACAGTGCCAGGCAATTGCCATGGATACTTATGCAATCCTTACAACAACCCTCTTTGGTGGGTGCTACAATGATCTTTATTATATAATGGGGAAATTGAGGCCCAGAAAGATGAGGACCTGCTCACAGTTCACAGAGCCAGGATGCATCCAGAAAGTGCGTCGTCTGCCTATAGCCCTGCTCTGTTAGCCACAAGATAAAATGTGCCAACCAAGCAGTGATCGGGTGCAACATATAGCCCATAACCAACTTGCAGGTGACAATCAGCCAGCACCTGTCAGACATGCCTCAGACCTTTATTTATCATAACCCAGAGCAACTTCCACCTGTCCCTCCCACCCAAATTCCTCCCTGGAGCCACACAGAGAAAAGGAGAGACACTGTGCTTGCAGAACTCAGAACTTAAATCAGAGCTGTTAGCACGCTTGTCTGTGCCCATCCATTCCCCACATGGACAGATGGGTAGCCCAGGCTGGCCTTGATCTCATGGCAATCCTTCTACCTCAGGTCCTGAGTGCTGTGATTATAGGCATGAACCACTACCCCTGCCTAGATGTTTGCTGTCCAGTGCAAACCTATTTTGTCTGAGGAGGGGTGGGGAGATGTCTACATTAACACCCTAGGATGTCAGCACAAATCTTGAAGACATACCCTTAAATCCTTCTGGTGTTACTTTTAAAACCCACTTTGAATGTCTTTTTTTTTTTTTTTTTTTTTTTTTTTTTTTTTTTGAGAATCCTTCTTAGCCATGTAGAAAAGAAAATCCTCACACAGCACTGCCTATTGGCAGAACCTATGTGAGAGTTACACTCTAAACATGGCCAGCTTCATGCTATGTTTGTCAAGATATGTATTCCCCCCCACACACACACTAGATGATTGTCACACTCTTGGGAGACAGGTACTTGGCGTATGTACTCCTGTATGTGGGTCTCAGGGGAGGGTTGACTTGTAGCAAGTTCTTACTAAATTTTATTTAAACATACTTACACACTGGACAGAGCAATAAACAGGATGCCACCCCAAGGCAATTTACATGAGTCACTTGTGCTAAAATCTAGTTTTGAATAGTTCACAAAATGATTGGTGCTGGCTCAGTCTTTGTGGCCCACTTCTGGATGCTTCTTTCCCTTAGGGGAGGCCCACCCCTTGTCATCTCTGGTTTCCCTGGAGCCTGCACAAGACCATGAAGCGTTGATATAAAGATCTGTATCAACAGGGTGGTGGTGGTGCACGCCTTTAATCCCAGCACTAAGGGAGGCAGAGGCAGGTGGATCTCTGTGAGTTTGAGCACAGCCTGATCTATAGAGAGAGTTCCAGGACAACTAGAACTACACATAGAAACCTTGTCTCAAAAACAAAACAAAGCAAAATAAAAAAAAACCCAAACCAAGCCAAATCAAAACAAATGAAACAAAAATCTGTGTACCAAAGTCAGGAGACTGGGTGCCCACATTGGTAGCCTATCTTGTGGTATGACCATGGACAAACCCTGCTATTCTCTGAGCCTTGATCTCCTTGCCTAAGAAGGCAGATGTGTAGAGCAAACAGTTTGTGTGGAGAGAGAGGCTGATAGGCTCCCAAGGAAGAGCTAACAGATGAGAGTAGAGGCAGGGAGAGCTGCGAGGGTGTTGGGGGAAGAAACAAGATCTCGTGGTCAGCAGAAGAAACTCAGACAGTAGGGAGAGGAGATATGGCTAAAATGATGGGAGGGAAAAAGAAGAAGAAAAGAAAGAGATGAGGAGGAGGGAGAGGGGGAAAGGGAGGGGCATTGGAAAGGGAGGGAAAGGAGATAAAGAACTGAGAAATGAAAGTAGGAAATCTTTAGATGACATCACGGAAACTACTCCCAGATTGAAAGGAAAATCAGTCTGCCACCACTGGTGATGGATGCCCACTTGTAATGTACAACTCAGAATGATGGTTGTGACCTGCTCTGATGGAGATCTGATGATGGTGATCCACCTTTGTTTGTATTTTGTTGATGAAAACCCACAGGAGAATGACAGTGTGCGGTACTGGGCCTTTGTTCTATTTGGGCAATTGGCTGCATTTGCTGGACAGAAATGGAAGAAATTTTTCACTCACCAGGTTAACCAGACACAGGATTCCCTCCTGACCCATTTACAGGACAAAAACCCTCAGGTTGCCAAGGTGAGGGAGCCATTCTTAGCTCACTTTGTGAAACCTCTGCTGTCCCTAGAGGGGTGGTGACAGCTTACTAAGCGGAAAAGCCAAGCCCAGAAGTTCTTGCCTGTTAGTATGGCCTATAGGGTATCTATGTAAAGCTGGGCAAAGGAGCCCCCAGGGTGCAGTCTCCCCCACTTCTTCTTTGACCTGTCTCTGCCCAATCCAACATCTACGGGTGCTAGCTAGATAGGTAAAGCTAGCCCCCAAAGGATGACTGGGGAGGTACAAAGAGTTCTACAAAAATCACTTTAGGGGAGGAGAGGAAGAGAGATGGGTGTAATTGTGTGTACGTGGAAGACTGTGCCCTCTCCAGGTGCCACAGACTGAGCCATTTCTTGAGCAGAAATCCTTTAAGTTTCAAGCTCAGAAATGACCTGTACATTACTTTCCCAGCCTTGGTGGCTCTGACCTTAGATTGGCTATAGTCTTTTGGGACTCCCTTCCCCGCCTGGAATTCTAGAATTCCCTCATAGCTTGGACAATTGGAGGGCAATGTTATTTTCCCTCAGGCTTGCAAAACGACCATTCGAGCCTGTGTTCCATACCTGAAACCCAGGAGTGAGCAGCGTTTCCAAAGTGAAGAAGATCAAAGGAACCCCAGGCTTTCCCAGCAGCTGGTGAGTGAGCCAGAGAGTGTTCTTCTGAAAGTCCCTCACCTTCAGGTACTTAATGCATGAGTGAGGCCAGTGTATCAGGAAGTTACCTTCTCCTACCTCCTGAAATAGCTCAGGCTAGTATTGCAATTGCAATGGATCCATAAGGCGATGTAAATGGCAAAATTCCCGAAAGATGATACTCAGTATTATCATTCTCTCAGTTCTAGTCATCTGCTGTGTCCACTCATGCCTTCTGTGTGGCAACCTCCTTCACAGGTACCTTTTCTAATTTCTTACAGAGCCATTATCATCCTGAGGTCCTGCTGTTCTTCTATGCTAATAAAATCCTCTAAGTCCGGAGCAGCAGAGAAAATGGCTCCATGTGAGTGCCCAGTTCCGGGCATCCTGTTCCTACTGCTGTCTCATTGGGTACCTCTTTGACTCTTCTCATGTGATTGCAACAGAAAAGAGGATGTCAGAGAGCAACTGAGTGGAAAGAAAGAAATCACCCTGGAAGTGCACCTGCACCAAAGTAAAATTCTACATCACCTTCACGGATCTCATTTCTTCCCTATACAAACAGATTTGCCGAGAGGTGTATATTTCCTTTTCTGGATTGTATGTGGGCACATATATGCACGTGATTGTGGAGGTCAGGAGACAACCTCAAATACTGTTCCTTAGGCATTGTCCATCTTTCCATTGAAACAGGGTCCTTTAACTGGCTGGGACTTGCAGATTAGGCTAGGCTTGATGGCTGGTAAGCCCCCCAGGATCTGTCTCCTCCACTGAGTACTGGGGTTATAACAACACTCCAGTGAACCCAGCTTTTGTTTAAAGTCTTCTCTCATGTATTAGAACACTCACATATTATATCTCAACTATAGTTTCCTCTCCATCCATTTCTCCCAGTCCCTCCCCCACTGCCTTTCTTCCCCAGATGCACTACTCCTCTCTTTTCCTTGAGAGACAGAGACAGAGATAGAGATACAGACAGAGACACATGAACACAGACAGGGAGGGAGGGAGAGAGAGAGAGAGAAAGCAGGCCTCTCAAGGATATCAACCATACATGGCTTAACAAATTGCAATAAGACTAGGTACAAACTCTTACATCAAGGCTGGATGAGGCAATCAAATCAGAGGAAAAGGGGTCCCAAGAGCCACAGAGGGTGAGGACACAAGAACACAGCCCACAGAATCAACTAAGCAGGGCTCACAGGGCCCACAGAGACTGAAGTGGCAGTCATGGACCCTGTTTGGGTCTGAGCTAGGTCCTCTGTACATATGCTATGGTTGTGTAGCTTGGTGATCTTGTGGGACTCTCAACAGTGGGAGAGGGGGGTGTGGGTGTCTCTGACTCTTTTCCCATGTTTTATTTATTTATTTTTATTTTTAATTGTGGGTTCTGGGGCTGCATTCAGACCCTTGCACTGATTTGTACCAGTTGAGCCATGGCCCCAGCTCAGTAGCTGGATGCTTCCTTAAAGACATTTAATGTTTAAACAGCCTTTCTCTGTTCCTGCCTGTCAGGTAATATGCCATTTCTAACATGTAACTTGTTAGGCTTGGGAGAATAATTTTATTTTCCCATAAACATTTTAGCAATGTATTTGTTTTTGATGGTTTGCTGTTTGCCTTTGACATCTTTTCTTGTCAAGATACCAAGAAGGTGTTTTGCAAAATGTCTTCAGTTTCTTATGATCTTCAAATGTCATTGTCTTTAAGATCATCTTTAAAAAAGAATGACAATGACAAGAAATATTGCCAAAAATCCACAGGGTGATGCTAACTTATAGAATAAAAACAGTAATGTTTACTGAGGGTGCTTACAGCGTCTTGGGTACTATGGTGGTTTGAATGAAACTATCCCTGTAGGCTCATATAGTTGAATGCTTGGTTCCCGGTTAGTGGAACTGTTTGGAAAGGATTGGAAGGTGTGCCTTTGTTGGAGGAGATGCCTCACTGAAGGTGGATTTTGAGATTTCAAAAGCCCATACCAGATCCAGTCAGTCTCTCTCTCTCTCTCTCTCTCTCTCTCTCTCTCTCTCTCTCTCTCTCTCTCTCTCTCTCTCCCCCTGCGGATCACAATGAGAAGCCCTCAGTTACGGATCCAGCACCATGTCTGTCTGCTTCTTGCCAGGATGATCATGGATTAACCCTCTAAAACTGTAAGCAAGCCCCCAATTAAGTGCTTCTTTTTATAAAGGTTGCCTTTGCTTTAGTGTCTCTTCAGAGCAACGGAATAGTAACTAAGATAGGCTCTAATGACTTGTTGAAAGTATCATCAATGCAACAACTGTATGCAATAGGTGCTATTATCTATTTATTGGGAGTGGGCACATGCCAGGTGTGGTGTGGTGTGGTGTGTGTGTGTGTGTGTGTGTGTGTGTGTGTGTGTGTGTGTAGGTCAGAGGACAACTTGAGGAAGTCAGTTTTCTCTTTCCATATTGTGGGTGCTAGGAATTGAACTCAGGTGATTAAACTTGGTAGAAATCACCTTTATGTGCTGAGCCATCTCCTGGCCCCAAGATAGGTGCTATTATGGTTTCTCATTTCATGGATGAGAAACAGAGGAAGTTAAGTAGCTTGTTAGAGATAAACAGTAGGACTAGACCTTAGATCCATGTGATCTGATTTCCGGAACTAAAGCTCAGTTATTTTCCATCAATCATTGGTGGGTGATTAGAACTGTGAAAAAACAAACAGAGGACACCCTCACCCACTTCTGCTCTTCGACTCAACCCAGATGACTCTTACTCTCGTCTGCACATACCAAGAATTTATGATCAGGGCTTATTTTTAAAGTTGTCCTGCTCCTGAAAGGCCAGCTCTCAGCAGGGCAGAGAGACTGGAGAGGAGGTGTGGACCAGGAAAGCTACTGGGACAAATGCACAGACACACATGGGAACTTTTATCTGAGGGCTGAAGCTTAATTCTTCATTTTATTTTTTTTTCAGCCAGTTGATCTTTTTACTCTGTTTTTCTTTTTTTTGTTTTGATTTTCACCCTGTTGTTTTTCTTTTAGTTTTTTTCTTCCCAGTTGCCCTCCTCCTACATCTTTCCTGATGCCATCCTTTTAACTCTTTCCTGATGTCTTCCTTCTGTTTCTTCCAAGATGTGTTTCTTTTACGTCTTTCCTTCTCCTTCTATATCTTATTTTTCTTATCCCTTTTATACCCCCTAATACAAAGATTCCTATGCAAGAAAAGATTACTTCACAACCACAAGTTACATGTTCTCCAAAAGCAAACTAAAGTCTTCACACAGAAACCACATGAAGGTAACAAGACACATACTTTTCTTAAAAGTCCACAAAGCAGTAATTCTTTTAGAATTGATTAGCAAAGCTTTCAACAGTTTTGTTTTGTTTTTGTAACAGTGGGCAGCTATTGCAGTTTTAGTGTAACAGTTTTCTATTCTAAGAAATAGAATTATAGGATTACTATTCTTAGAAGTTTCTCTAGAGAAACTTTAAACAAGTGGTCAGTTCACCCTTTGTTTTCCTTTACAGGCAATAGGGTCACTTAATTTCCTTTTACAATTTTGGTTTTTCAAGGTGCACATGGGCCTGTGGTTAATTCTGTAAGCTCTGTGACCAAGGGACTGGGCCTAACCTTTAGTGTAGGGACATACTTTTTCTCTTTAGTTTTTCTACAGGCAGGATTCATGGGTTTATAATGCACGAAACTCCCTTGTTTATATTTTTCATTCCCTGAAGATCTCATATCTAACAAAGGGGAAGGTGATTTCTAGCCCCCACCCCCCCTTTTTTTGCCTTTTTTGTGTCTCTTATTGGAAAGATTGGCAGAATAACCTAAACCATTTCCTAACCATCTTTACTAACTGTCATAACCACCTGTATCTGTTAGGCTAACTCAGAAAGTCCAATTAAATCACAGATCTAACCAATCATCATTGCTCTTACAAAACTGATCTTCATTATGATCTTCAAATTGCCCAGTGAGGAGTGGGATTTTCCCATGAAACCATCACACTATACTTGATGCAGCGGTGTCCTTTCACATAGTAATCATACCTTGCCAAATACAGCAGGAGCATGGCAGAGCAAGCAGGAGGAAGCACAGGGAAGCAAGGGTCACTCTGGAAACAGTCCTCCTGGGACTTTCCCTCTGCATGATGCACCCAGGGTAGCTTTGTTATCCTCTGAGCTGGATTCCACAAGCTCCTCTGATATGGTCACCAGCATTTGCCTATACATCAATCACAAATCTACATTTAATTATTTGAACCAAGTATACACTTTTATTAATCATTTATTGACTGATGTTTTGGTGACCCATCCTCACTATTATCACTCTTACAAAAAGTCACATCCAGGTGCAATAATGTGCATATGTCTAGTCCTGGTTATTTGAGAGAATGAAGTGGAAAGATCACCTAATGATATGAATTCAAGGCTGGCCTGGATAGCATGTTGTCTCCACATCAAAACAAGTGTTTTTAAAGACTGAATTGTTTAGTTCCTCCTTCCTCCTAACCAGTTTACTTCCCAGGCTTCTCTCACCACAGTTCTGTTGCCCTCAATGTCAACACTGTGTTCAGTTTGGGAACTGGAAAGATCAACAAGGATAGAGAACACAAGAGGTTATCAAAACACTGAGGGGTCTGAAGAGCCATTCTCAGAAGTAGGAGAGCAGTTTCTGTGCTGTCTCAAGAAATGTAGAGATGAGGGTATTTAGGAGTGTCCTGGAAGAGAAAGATTGCAGGCAGAGATGGCAGAAGTGATAGCAGGTGCCAAGAACCAGTAGAGCGTCCTCCTTCCAATCCTGTAGCTGGTGACAGCAGGAGCTGCAAGTGGTGACTTACACTGAACAGCGGGTGCCATGGAGCTGAGTCATGGGCTCTTTTCTTCCCCAGATACTGGATTGCTAAACTAGACTGCTAGATAGGTTTCGAAGCTGGTGCAGATCTGTTTAATGATCAACAAGTGGCACGAGAAACAACTGAATTCTGATGAGATTTAGAAATGGTGGCAATAGGGTATGGGCTTAGCTTGTGGGGTTGCACAATGTGGTTAATGTCTCTCAGCTGATATTTGATGTTGAGTTTCTATGGTAGCCCATTGTTAGTATAACCAATGAATTCCCCTCCTCATAGCCATGCCCTGTGCAGCATTCTGCTGTTGAATCTAGGTTCATACTGTGACATTCTTTATCCATCAGAATGTGGTAAACATGCCCATTTTAGAAGCCCTGACAGCTTACTCTTTTGCAGAAGGTCAGCCTCTACATAAGACAAATTAACCACACATCCCTGAGATCACCTTGGGGAAAGATGACCCAGCCCACAGCAATGTCTGAGACCCAGAACCAGGACCCAAGTTAGATGGTCCATTCACATCCCAGTTCTTTGAGCTCTCTTGACTGACACCACAGAAAG